TTATTAAAGCTAAATTGCACTGCAGAAATATATTATTAAAGAAGCTAAATTTTATTAACCTCTTATGTTTACTTCTTATATTTCCTCCAAGCAACATTAAAACCAAAGAAATTGCTTACATCTTCCATACACACTATCTTTGTTCTTTCCAGAAGCCTCTAGAGAACCCTAGAAATTCTAATTAGGATTAGCAGTTATAACATACATATTTTACTATTATTTCAATTTTAGTTAATATTAACTACCATTACTTTAATTCTTATATAATATCACTATTATCTATAATTACTATAGATTTTTTTAAGGAAAGTGACATTATTGTTATAGCCTTGTTGTTTATGTGTCCCCAAATATCATCAAATCAAAAAATAAACTAAAACTAGAATACACATACAAATCCCAACAGAACATACATAATGTATATTCAAAGTACTAACAGGGTCTTCTCAGCCTCCTCTGAACTCTATATACATACATATATGTAGATATATATATATATTTGTGTGTTTATACATATATATATTTCATTAATCCAGAGAACATTTTGAGATCTATTTTGATATACAGCATCATTATAGTTTGTAAGAACCAATATATCACATGGCATGGCAAGATAGGATTTGGAAACTAGTGTTTAAATTAAAACCTTACAACAATATCATAATATTTTAACTATGGTATTTGCTAACAATCAATACCCCATTGACTATGTGTAAATTTCCATCACCTGTCTACCAGAGACCTGTGCAATATTTAGCCATCAAATTATTGGGCCCCTAATGCTTAAAGAATAAAAATGTATTTATTTAGTATAAAGTTCACCTTTATCATTTGCCCCTAATTTCTAATCCAATAGGCAGTACTTTCAACAAAGTATGCACTTCACTCCTCCCATACTTTGCTGACTGGTGTTATCTGCCTAAAATGTCTTCTTTTCTTCCTCCACTAATGAAATTCTATCACCTCCGGGATCACTATTTGCCCTACTCAAAATTAACTATTTCCATCTTGTGTTCCACAATGTTTTAAAAATATGTATGCTAACATTTAGTACAGTTTGACTAAATGTTATGTGTCTCTTCTTTCCATCACTAGATGATGAGTTCCCTGGTGCAGAGACAAGAACTTACTCTTTCCCCCCTCACATTTAGCATAGTACCTTGCACATGCTGAATACTGTCTACAATTATAAATTAAATGAAGTGAGAAAACCATTTCTCCTAAAACAAAATAATTTCATTTATAATAAAAATACTAAAATAATTTGTCTAAAACTCTAAAAATTAGTAATAAAAATGGAAAGTACATTTGATAGTATTTTAATATATTAAATATCTGCACATTTAAATATTATAGATATAATAATTAGCGTATTTTAAAACTTCTTTCTATTTAGCAATCCAAAGCAACTTTAAACTCTTAAACATTCTCTAAAAACAAAGACCAGTAATGATTTATTCACTATGCATTTAGACATGAGCTCTCAAATTCCTTTTAGTAGGAGTAGTTCTCAGAGGTTTTGGAACACAGGGTCTAAGAAATTCAGAAGTAGATATTAAAGACAATGAGTGTGTTGCTCCTTCTGTTACGTAGATGAGTGAAAAGCAAAAAGCAACAGAAAGGCCAAAAAAAATGGTGCCTTGGATCTGGGAAAGCTAGGGCAGTATGTTTCCAGTCAGATGGACCCGGATCCATCTGCTGATTTCTTACTGACCCTGCCACCCATTGACCAAATTATGAATAAAAGTACTAGGTCTGACAAGAACTTCATCCATTACAGTATGATCAATCAATGGTGACTAATTGTTGGGCCTCCCCTGGTGGCTCAGGGTTGAGCACTGGGCTGCAAAGCTGCCCGCAGCCTCTGCAGCGCCGGTTCCATCCCCGGCCACAGGCGAGGGTCCCACATGGGTCCCACATGGTGCGTAGACCTCTCCTGCAGTGCCCACTGCTCCCCTCAGCAGTGTATTTTTGTCAGTCTGCCTGTTCTGCTCCCCACTCTGGCTCTGGTGATTCTCTCACCCTCCACCGCTTCTGACTGTACCCTGTGCTTGTATAAAGAAATAAATAAATCTTAAAAAAAAAGAACAAAAAAAAATAGTGACTAATTGTTACCAAAATAAATGGAAGTTTTACATCATTCAGATTTGTTGTGTTTATATTATGCACATCTGGATATGCTGTGATGCTTAAATGCTTATTTAAACGTCCCTTCAAAGATACATCTTAGTAAAACTAATGGAGCTGAAAGGTGTCCCTGTCCTGATTTTTACTCAAATGTTCAAAATTGGTAAAGTAAAAATAGTAGTAAGTAGCACAAGAAAACTTAGATAATTTTCAGAGTCAAGAGGAATGAAAGCACAGTATGTTCAGCACGTGACTATATGAGAGCCTTCAAATGATTTTTTTTAGTTTTACTGTGGTTTGACTAGATTTTAGCAGCTGCAATAAGAATTGCTTCTATTGTAACTGATTGGCACTAACAAGTGCTGCTCAAAAGAGCAGGAAATTTCTTGCTGACTTAACAGTTGTATTAAGTGTCAATAACACACACATACACACACTCTCCACATGAATGAAAGGGAAGAGAATTAATATTCATTAAGTGCCTGTTAGATACCCTGTACTATGCTGGATGTTTTCAGTATCCATCTCATTTTTCACAACACTACTAGGTATACATTCATTTTATGGATGAGAAAATTCAACCTCAGGGGTTACCAATATCACAGCTGCAATGCAAATATATGGGACTTTATTTCACCTATTTGTTTTTTTTTTTTTTACCCACTATACCACACTACGTTTAGAAACTCTCTAGTGGCTTTGAAAGTTGCCTCTATGCTTCAAACTTCATTTTCTTCATTGTAAAATAAAGAGACTAGGCTTAGTCACGTCTAAACCTAACATTTTATGAAACCTATGATACTTGTGGGTCTAAAAACAAATATATCCATAAGTAGAAGTTTAACTGTTCAACACAAAGTGTGCAAAGAAACAGAGGGAGAAATTCACAGAAAAATAAATTAAAATTGCCTATAAATAAAGGAAAATCTGTTCAATTTCATTCCTAGTATAAGAAATGAAAATTATAATATCAACAATTTACCATTATCACTTTTGAGATGAGCAAAAGTGATGGGTAAACAGATACTCATATGTTTCAGGTGGCACTATAAATGGACACAGCACTATGGAAGGCGATATGGTATTTTTAATGACATGGTTTCCATTCTTTGCCTTTTCTATATAAGTATTTCCCCTGACACCTGCCACTGGAACATTCTTAACCACTCCCAGGTTAACACTGCCCAATTCAAATAAATTTTTGCTCAGATGAACTCTCAGTTTTTTTTTTTAATATTACAACTAACATGAATGCAAAAGTATTATTCACCTCAGCATTAGATGAAATAGTAAAAGACATAAAGTGATCAAATATCCATTAATTGAGGAACTGTTAAATCTGTTAAATCAAATAAATAGGTCCATACCACAGAATTCTGTCCAGTATATATAAAGAGCAAAGTAGTGGGCCTCCCTGGTAGCGCAAGGGGTTGAGCACCTCACTATGAAGCAATCCACAGCCTCTGCAGCACGAGTTCGATCCCCAGCCAGCCAGGGAGCAACCCACATGGTGAGGTAGACCTCTCCTGTGTCGCCCGCTGCTCCCCTCAGCAGTGTGTTTTGGTCAGTCTGCCTATTCTGTTCCCCACTCTGTCTCTGGTGAATCCTCTCACCACCCCCAGATCTCTGGCCTGTACCCCAGCTCTTGTATGCATAAATAAATAAATCTTTAAAACAAAAGAGCACAGTAGATAAACACAAGTTATTCTGGAATAATATCCAAATACATGAAATGAAATCAGCAGGAAGTAAAAAACAAAACATAATAAATACACATATGCTCCTGGAGGCATAAACTATTTATAGGAGGTATTAGTAAGAGTGGTTTTCTCTGGGGAAGAAGATGTAAGTTTGAGATTGAAAAGATATGTTTATCACACATCTTTTTATTTTACTATGACTAACATGATACAATTTTCCCTTTTTCAATTTAAAAAAGTGGTTATAATAAAAATGAAACTTATACAGTAATTGAAGAAATCTTTAAATGTGAATTCCACTATATACCTAATAATAATAAGAAAAAGACCTAGTGCAGGAAATATTTTAAATATCGAAATTCTCAATAATACTCTAATCACCTCAGATTTCTTTGAGTGTGGCAACTTCAATATACAAGGGAACAACAAAAAATATATAGATGGACTAAAAAGGAATAATTTTCACCTTTCTCTGAACCTTCCAAAATTCACATTCTTACATTCTTCAGCATGTTATGACAAATCAGACAAATGAATGGCAAAGATGCTAATTCCAAAAGCATGAACATATGGAAAATATCAATTTCTTGTTTATAAAAACTTATTCAGACTAAAAAAAATTCCTATGCTTAAATGAACTATCAATTCTACAATAATTTGTAAAGTATTAATGTTAAAATAAAATGCCAAAATTCAAACACCACAATGATTAAATATGAGATCGATAAATTAACTATATAATATCAACATCATGTATCAAAATCATAAGAAGTTTAGGATCTAATATAAAGAAGGCATTCTATTAGAAAATCAGAAGATATTATGTATCAGATGGTTACATTATACCAGAAAATCTACTTACAGGAAAAAGAACTATAAAATTTCCTAGAAAACGAAATTGATAGGTAAAACAAAAGAGGAAATACTAAGCACAATGGTAGCAGTATTATTATTTTATGACAATTCTGACGCACTAGAAGGATAGATTCATTAAAGAGCTAACCTTTGGTTGCTCAGTAAATATATAGTCAATATGTTTATTTATGTTTGATTCTGTCTGGTTATAACGATTATACATATACATATTACTAGAAATTTTTAGCAAAGTGCTGAATTCAGTGTATAAGAATCAGGAATTTATATTTAAATATATATATATATATATATATATACCTTTTATCTGGGTAGCAAAATTCAATGCCAATTTTGCAAAGAGATCTGGATTTTCAAATTTGTCCTCCTTAACTTTTAACCAGAAACAATTCTCAGATAATTCTTTGGGTTCAATCTGAAACAAAAATAACATAGACAAATTTCTAGATTATTACTACATACTTCATTTTTCAAAGAATTCAATTTCACCAAGATTGATTGAGAGATCCTTTTTCATCTATCTACTAAATAAAATTTAGGATCTATTAAAATGATACAAAAATAATACTTTTTAAAGAAATATTCATTGAGAAAGTCACAGAATTCTACTGGTATACAGAAAACATACATGATAACAATAGCAGATATAGCAAGTTACATTTAAAAAAATTTACTAGAAGAAATCTTAAAATAATTTAGTAAATCCCTTCCCAAACTAACAAATATGTTCTTCTTGCTCCTGAATTGGTAGAAATGGGGAAACAAAAATTTAGGAAAACAAATTCTTCATGCTTACTACTAGGTTGAAAGTCACAGCCACGACAGTAGTTGACCTTACATAATTCCTACTATGCAAACGGTACTGCTTTAAGTGTATATATTAACTCATCTAATCTAATACTTGCAGCAATCCTTTGAAGCATGGCTTATTATTATCCACTGTTAGATATTAAAGATGAGGAAACTTACCTCCCAAAATTTTAAGTGGCCCCCCATGCTAGATAATGGTGTAGATGAGTTTAAATACAGGCAGTATAGTTCCAAAGAATAGCACTTTTGAAAGCCAAGATTAAAACTGTATATTTTCCAATATACAGTAACACTTTGTGATACACAAGCACTATTACATTATATGATAAAAATTAACAAATATATCATATTTATACACACAGATAATCAGACCAACAGCTTCTGGAACTTAATAATTTGTTGGTTGGGGCTAATAAAAAGATAACTGCATTCCAAAACCATTTATAATTCATTTACTCATGAGCAAAGCATAAGTATATGATTAATTTTAATATGACTCATTCATTATTCTGGTTAATCAATTTATTATATGGACACTGTAAGATATCACTGTATTTATGATCTTGAATGAGTCATTTCCCCAAATGGTGGTCTGGGAAATTACACATTCATTAGAAGATTATTTCATAGTGAATTTGTCAATCTGAGTAATAATTTTTGAGACATATTGCATGATAATAAAGCAAAAACAAAATTCAAAGAAAATATGTTCATATATCAAAAATATAACTAGATTATATCACTATGAACATTATTACCTATTTATTCTATACTATCTGAAAATTTAAAACTAAATAATTCAAATCGACAGATGAATAGAAAGCAAACTGATATACATATATCTCATATATATATATATATATATATATGCATATGCCTTTCAGTTTACAATTCACCATGAGAACAATATAATTTTTTTAACCAAATGGTAAATAAAGTCTGGGAAATCCCTTTTATTAGAAAAATAAAAATAAAACAAACACAAAAATAGTCTCTAAGAACATAATTAACTAAGGTTACAAGGTTCAATAATAAAAACAATATATATAACTCTTCGTACTTAAAGCAAAAAATGGTCAAAGAATCAAAATTATTTTTCATTTGGAGATATATTTTGAATATCATTCTCTAACATGACTGTCACTTTGATTTTCCTTCTGCCTTATATATTAATTTTAATTTATCCATGGAGTTTTCAGTTATACAGGTACTAGAGTGAAGGATGATTGTAACATGATGAGCTCAAAGGTAAACAAAGAGTCAGCAGTAATATTCTCAGACATTATATAATACTTGTATATAACGATGCAATTATTCACATATTAATAATCAACTTGTATAGGGAAAAACAAAAAGCTCTTATCATAGTACTACCTTTGACCAATTGATTCTCTTCATAGAAACTTCAGGTTTGTATATTTTTTTCTGCTTCATTCCATAAGGCAGATCAAGAGTTACTCCTGGGGGAGGAGGGATACCTCCAAGGGCAGGTGGTGGAGGAGGTCCCCCAAACAAAGGTGGTGGTGGTGGTGGTATAGTTCCAGGTAAGGGAGGTGGAGGAGGAGGAGGACAAGCTCCTCCAGGTAGGGGTGGAGGTGGTGGAGGTGGTGGTGGGGATGGCCCACCACTGGGCATTGAAGATGGTGAAGGGCCTGGAACTCCCGATGAACTTGACAGTCCATGTGCCTGAAATATAAAATCCAACATTTAAACATGTAAAATAAAACATAGCAGAAAAGAAAACTTAGAAGACATTTGTGGTAGTTTGCTTGATATTACATATAATTTAATTTAGCAACACTTAAGGGCTAAACAGTACATAAGAGATGTATCAATAAATGTTATAAACTCTGGACAACAACTACATCTGTTCACATTCTAATGCTAGGAGAGTTGCCATTCTCACATATTTTATGAAATACTCCTCCAAAATAATGAAAGATTAACTTTCATTAATGTATGCAAAGTAAGAGTACTATATGGCTTTGACCTATTAAAAAAGTTGGCATGAATATGAAATAATTAAAAAGTAAACATAGATTTGATTTCCTTGGGGGCCAATTAGCTTTACAAGGAATCTGTCTCTTAGCACCAGTTAATTTAGCTGCATTCTAACACCAAGAATTAATACTAAGTAACATCAGTTTGCATAATAATACAAGTTTATTGATGTTTTTACATCTACTATTTTTTATTATATCCTTATAATGTAAATAGGGCATTTAAAAAAATATGGAATGCATCATGAATTTGCATGTCATCATTGCACAGGGATCATGCCAGTCTCTGTACCTTCCATTTCTGTATATGTGCTGACAAAGAGAGTACTAAATACGGTCTTTTTATCCCACATGTACCTCACTGTTTATAAAGGAAGTAACTATAACTACAAAAAGCTTAAATTACTAATCAAAAGTTACATAGTTTGAAATGTGATTAAGACTTGAATGTGGTTCCTACATTTACAACCTAACATAGTCCTCTTTTCATTAGTGCAGATTATCTCCTCATGACTAGGTGTCATTTGTGATGATAGAAATTAACTCATGTACTGGTATGAAGAGGAAAGGATAATTTATTTCCACCACTAGAAACTAGCTTCTTTCTCATTCTCTGAGGATTATGAATTACAGATGAAGGAAAACACTGCATTCCAAATTATCTGTTTTGTTGATGATTGATCTGTACCTGTTTCTTTAAACCAATACTCACCAAAATGGTTCAGTTTCTGAAACAATTCATAAAAAACTGAAGTTGTTTACTATAAACATTACAAAGTAACTCCTCTCAATATGTTGTAATTAAAATATAGCATTATATTAACTATGAAATATGGCATTATATTAAACTTGAAATGAAAGGTTTGAAATTATTTTTTTTGTACAGTATTATTTTTATTTGGGGAGAAAAACTTCATCTCTTTATTAATATGAATTTCCTATTTGTATTATTTAATCATCCTAAGTAATTTAGAAAGCTATAGATAAGTAAGTTGAAGGGTATTTTTGAAACAATCAGTGTAAAGTATTAATAAGAATATTAAACATTAGGGCCTCCCTGGTGGTGCAAGTGGTTAAGACACAACCTATGAAGCTGTCTGCAGCCACTGCAGCATGAATTCGACCCCTGGCCAGGGAGCTAACTACATGGCACAGCAGACCTCTCCTGACTCACCTGCTGCTCCCCTCAGCAGTGTATTTCAGTCAATCTGCCTGTTCCGCTCCCCACTCTGTCTATGGTGAATCCTCTCACCCCCACACCTCTGGCCTGTACCCCAGTTCTTGTATGCATAAATAAATAGTTCTTTTTTTAAAAGAATATTAAAAACTATCATAATTAATAGGCTCATGGAAATATTCCTTAGATTTGATGTGTATTGTTCAAATATTTCATTCACATATATGAATGTTTATATGAATGTATATACACATATACAACACAAATATTTATATATTTGACAAATGACAAGTCTCTCCTGAGATTAGGAAGAATTATAGAATTAAAAATATGCATACTTCTTTTAATGTATTTCAGAGGAGCAAAATTATAAAAAACAGTCTGATTTCAATCTCTTGATTGATATCAAATATATTTTAGGAAATATTAAAATAATTTTTGGAAAGGTTCAGGAAATTGATAATTTGGCCAACAAATTTTATATATAAATGGATTTGCTGAATAATTCAAAACGTAAAATGCTATTTCTTAAAAATGCCGAAAGTTTTTAAAAATTAAATCACATCAGTCCTTTTCTTCCTTCCCATAAAAAGTTAGGAATGAACAATTACATTTGGCTATAAAAATTTATTAAGAATTGAATACGGTAAATTAATAATAATTTAATGTTTGATACTAGAAAGTGGTGTGTGACTCTGTACTTTTACAGATCAGTTAATTTAATAATAATAAACAGCTACTCTTAATTGGTAAGGCCCTGTGACGGATTCAGTGTGGATTTGAATAAAACACTGGCCTCAAGGCACTTATTCTCTAATGGAAGAAATAAAGCAGGCACACATATATCATATGCATGGTCTACAAAAATGACAGAGCAATTACTTCATGGAGTTTTGGTGAAGCTTTCCAAAGATCTTTTTTTTTTCCCCCAAAGATTTTTTTTTTAAAGATTTATTCATACAAGAACTGGCGTGTAGATCAGAGGTAGGGGTGGTGGTGAGAAGATTCTCCAGAGACATAGTACGGAGCAGAACAGGGAGATCTATTGAAATACACTACTGAGTGGAGCAGCGGGCTAGACAGGAAAGGTCTGTTGTGCCATGTGGGTTAGCTCCCTAGCCAGAGATTGAACTCATGCTGCAGTGGCTGGCAATAATCTGATAATCTGATTTCTAACAGAGAGTAGTATGTCAGCATTTCTCAACTAAGTTCAATGAAATTTTATTTCATTTTCCAGGAGATTTTAGTACATTGTCTGAGATAGAGAGTTCTGTAGGTAAATGAGTATGGAAAAACTGTATGAAAAATAGTTAAATGGGTTTCTTCAATGTAGGACATTTCTGAATCTTCAGTATGGTTAATGAGTATAAGGTATATTTTTCTTATGAAAATCCTGTTAGTAGCTCTATGGAGATGGTATATTTTAAATGTGAAGGGAGGAAATGTGACTTAGATGCAATAGAGGCTATAGTTATGAGAGCAGTCAGATACTAGGCTGCAAAGGGCAGATAAGGCAGCCTATGATAGAAGATCTTCGAATTCCTGGTAAGGCAATTTTTATTTAATCCTGAATGCAACAGGCAATCACTGAACATACTAAAGCCTGGAGTGACACTGATTAGGGAAGTGATTTAGGAAGATTAATTTGCCACTGACATAAAGGATATTTTGTGGAGGAAGAGTCTATAAGCAGGGAGAAAAGTTGGGAAACACTTATAACATTCCAGGCAGGAGATAACGGGACAGTGGCAAGGATGGACGTGTTGGATCGTGGGTTATGATACAATGAAAAAAAAATGTTATAGAAAGAAGTGACAAAATGTTGACAGGATTTGTCGTACAATAGGGCAGGGAAAAGCCAAAGAAAGCTCCAGCTTTACTATTAAAAAAAAGTAGGTAAATCTAAAGAAATAAGAATGGCAACCAAGTAAAGAGAGGAGATCACAAATAATGGGTTTAATTTGAATAGGCAGTAGATTATTCCCATGTAAGAATTCATCAAGAGCTAGAAAAATCAGGAGAACTGACATCTACCAAAAGGTGATTTTTATATTTATAATAAGATACTGAATGGCATATTAAAGTAAGGACTTATAGAGAAAAGAGCAGAGAACTGATCATTAGGGAATGTCACCATTTGTGGGGGGAGAAAATATAAAGAGAAACTGAATTCACAAAGATATCAAAAAGGAGGTCAGGTGACACAAAAGAAAGATTTAGTGAAAAGAAAGTATCAAATATTATAGATAAATGAAACAGGCTACAGGTAGGAAAAGGTCACTACATCGGGTATTTGGGACTTCTTTGGTGACTTGAAGGCATTTTTCAGTAGACTAATGGAAACAGAACTAGTCAATCAACAAATACATACTGGGCATCTACCATGTCTAAGAAATAATCTTTCATTTCATATATGCAATTAAAACATAAAATGAGTTGAGAGTACTTAATCATCTCTAAAGTTTAGTTGCCGAAATTAAGATTTTAAGTGTATATGGGAGATTTTCATCATAAGGAATGTTAAGCGGAAATGTAAAATTTATAGGCTTTGAATTTATGGTTAGTCAACTAAAATGTGAAACTACAAAAAAATCCTGCCTTTGGTCACATTTTTCCTTCTATCTTAGAGAAAATTTTCTAACACTGAATTCTCTATGACATGACATGCAATTTATATCTGGTTTCATTACCTGGGTTCGAAGTTGCTGGATCTCTGTTTCAAGCTCTTTGATTTTTTCTTCTCTTTTTTGAAGCTCAGCTTGAGCTTCCTGTCGAGCTGTGAATTCTTCATCAAACTGCAATGATCACCATCATAAATGCACAGTTAATAACAGTTTTGAGAAAGCTTTAAACATTATAAGTTAAATAAGTGGAGTATCTTTTACTTTATTGAATACCCAGATCACTCAGAAAATCAGTTCTTGATTATAACAATCAAGTACCCTTGTGGGGGTAGGGTAGGGCTTGTAGTAGTGGTAGTAAAGAAAAAATATGCCCAAGCTAGACAAACCCATTTTGATTTCTGGAAAAAAAATAAAGAGGGGCTTTGAACACCCTCTTATATATAATGGATATTTTTTTTTGTTTTGTTATTGAACGTGAGGCTTTAGAATTAATGGTGCTTGTGTTTTACTGTCTGAGCTCATACTTTCAAGTTTATTGAATTAGGAAATAAAACCTAAAAATTAGCCATCAAGCAGTTCAACTTAATTATATTTAATATTGAAATCATAAAAGATTGCACTCTTAGAACACTTAAGTAGATGTACATTAATATAAATTAGAATATTTCTTTACAAAATTGTCTAACATCAAAAAAGTTGTGCTCCACAAATTCTGATAGTAGGATTACATATGCTATAATGTCATCCTCCTTCAGATGGTTAACCAAAACACTTGTATAAAATGTTACAAGAGGGGAAATGAGAAGTTAAATTGTGGTGTACAAAACCAAAGATACCATCTGAATGGTGAATATTCATTGACTTCATTCAGCACTCAACTCAGTCAGGACTCTACACAGGCTTATACAACCCTGAATACTCAGCATGAAGAGTGCTTATGTCCAGCAATGGAACATTTGATTTGTCCTTTATTGCCAAAGTCACTTCCAATAATATCAGAAATCTACACATTATTCCAACAATGTTATTTCTGTTTATAAGAAATATTGTCTTACTATCTATAAATGGCTTTGGCGTTTATGAAACAATAAAAATGTATGTTTAATATCAATAAATATTTATTCTTATATAGATCTGACCTTTGGGAATTATGAAACGCCATTCACATCCAAGTTTGAAAAAACTAGGAAAGCAAATTAGATAGTAATAGTCTTTGGAGAAATCCTGAAATACTGCTAAATTTTTTTTTTATTCATCTCTACTTGACTCCCTGAAATATGTTCTTCAGAGGCTAGCAAATCTTCTCTAATATCTTTAAATTTCAAACTCACCCTAAATTTCTTCACAATCAGTAAGTGACATTGTTGCCAAGGTCACTGAAAAGATGGAGGTCTTCCAGTGTGAGCTTTTCCAAATTTATTACTACTATCCATGTTAAATTTCTATGAAACTATACTTCCAGCCTCTTTCCCAAAGTTAGCTTCTCTTACATGTTTCTCAAGCATCATATGTACAAAAACACACACTACAAATTTTCCTCTACACATGGTTTATTAATACATTGGAAGAGAGGCACATATTTCAACTTGTAAGCTAAATGATTTTAATCTATAAATACACAGAATAAAAAACACAGAAACCTGATTTATGTGAGCTAGAAGCCTTCTTATAAGTCACTAAGATTATCCTCTTCTTTTACTGATGAAGAATCTAAGATCCAAGGAGAGTAAGCAGCTTACTTAAAGTCACAGCTAATTAATGGGAGAGATGAAATCAGATCTTAGAACTACTGCTTCTCAATATTGACCCCCCCTTTTAAATTTACTTTATAGTGCCTCTTAAAATGAACCAGAATAAGAAGACATGCAGAAACTACTGAAAAACCATATATGTTCTCATTCTAAATGCTGGTGTTGAGAATAAAGAAGGAAACACCAATTCTCTTTATTATTAAGGATTTTTCCCATAATACATGCTTAGTCAAAATTTTTCTACATAGATCATCACAATTTGCTCTAGTCTTACAGTGCCTAATCACAGTGTCATAGAAAAATTAAGGAAGTTCTAAGATTTTCAAAAGGAATTTTCAATGTAGTACTTAAAACAAGAACATTAGAAATAAAAAGGTCTATTCATCAAAAAGTGTGCATTTTCTTTCACCAATAAAAATGACAGCTTCACACAAACATTTTATGCTCAAGCTCTTAAAGTCTATTCTAGTTACTGAAAGAGCAAAGACATTTCTTCATATGCCCTGAAGTAACTTCAGTACTACTGTATAATTTCTAGAGTGGTAGCAAAAGTGATTATCTAATCTCCAAGGTAAGTCATAACTTTGAAGAGACAGCAATATGTAAGCACTTTATCTTGCTGTCAGAAGACTGAAAACTGGAGAGCTTTTAGACTAGTACTTCTAATCTAAAAGAAAGGACTTTTAGACTAGTCCTTCTCCTTGCCACCAACAGGAGACAAATACTATACTAACACTTCATAGGTTCTTAAAAAATAAATAAAGAAAGAAAGAAAGAAAGAAAGAAAGCTCTTGATAAAGCTAATAAAATTGTAGCTATACTTTTATGAAACAAGAAAAATGTAATCTGAGACCTACATAAGATTAATATATTCATAAAATTGGCATTTGCAGATTGCATTAATAAAGAAAGGGGAACCTGAAATTCCATCAAGTTTACATGAAGGATCAGCATTACGTTAAAAAAAAAATTACAAAATTTAAAGAATGCAAATCGAAGCAGAGAGTGACAGAGAAAGAATAATGAAGTATTATGTTGCTACATAAAGTACTGACTTCAAATACAACAACACATAAGACTAGATAAACATCTCACAATTCTCCAAGAAGCTACCTACCATAAGAGCTTCAGGTAAACAACAGTGTGATGTATTTCGGTTGATCACTTCTAACTATACCCTTCCAGCAACATAATTTTATTAATTACTTTAGTAGAATAGGGCTAGTTATCTGTGATTCAAGAAACAAAAAACACTATATAACTGAAACAACATTCATAAGGCATCCCATGAAGAAACAAGGTAGAATATGTATTGTGATATATTAATGAATGATGCATGTGATGCAATAATAAATTTAACAATCATGCTAATATTTTATGTCTTACCTTCTTTGAGAATTCTGCTGCTTTTTGTTCACTTTCTTCAACCTTTGCCTTGTTCACACAAGAATCTATTAAGATTGAACAAAGGTAATTAGAAATTATTGTATCAACTTTCTAAGCAAAAAGATGGTTGTCAGCCTATGGAGTCATTATGCAGAACATTATTTCATGTTAATTTCTATTAAAAGGAAATTAACCCATACTACACATAAAACATAAACTACCACACCTTTCTTTTGCATACTAACTGAATTTTCAGTGATACTAATTTTGAAGTACAAAGTCAATTATATTTGATTAAATTATCACTTTAAAGATATTTGATTATTTTCCAAATCTTACAAACACAGAAATCCTCATAACTGTTTTTGCACTTTATTATGTGTGGAGAAATAGCGGATAATCCACACTTAGGACTATTAAGACTCAAAATGATCCATAAAATAAGACTGGAGGGGGAAATGCAATACCATTCATTACTTCAGGGTTACTAAAGAAAGATTTCATCTAAACAATTGTTTTAGATATATATATATTTTACTTTATTAATTTTTTTTTTGCATAGAAGAACTGGGGTATAGGCCAGCGGTTTGGTGGGGGTTGGGAGTTAGAGGATTCACCAGAGAAAGAATGGGGAGCAGAACAGGTGGATCTACTGAAATACACTGCTAAGGGGAGCAGTGGGCGAGACGAGAAGTCTCCTGAGCCACATGTGGGTTAGCTCCCCAGCCGGAGATTGCACTCAGGCTGCAGCAGTCATGGTGCTGAAACTTAACCCATAGTTCACCAGGGAGGTCCACTGAATAATTTCTAATCTGGAGTAAAATATATCATGTACATAAGAAAACAAATATCATACTTCTCAACTCCAAGCAAGCACTCCAAAATATAAGTAACTTAAGACCCTCTTTGAAGAAATATTCTCCTTATTACATGGGCAGTCTGTTCTATACCTGGCCATTCCATGTCTGTTTACTTACAAAAAAAAGAATTAAAACATGTCTTTACCCAGACTTTTTTTTTTAAAGATTTATTTATGCAAACAAGAACTGGGGTACAGGCCAGAGGTGTAGAGGATGAGAGGATTCACCAGAAACAGAGTGGGGCACAGAACAGGCAGAATGACTGAAATACACTGCTGAGGGGAGCAGTGGGCAAGACAGGAGAGGTTTGATGTGCCATGTGAGTTGCTCCCTGGCCAGCTGGGGATGAAACTCGTGCTGCAGTGGCTGTGGATAGCTTCATAGGCTGTGTTTTACCCACTTGTGCCACCAGGGAGGCCCTGACCAGACTTTTAAATGGGCTATTTACAATAGCCTCATTTTTGGGCTATTTACAATAGCCTCAACCTGGCAAGAACCCAAATGTCCATCAACAAGTAAATGTATAAACAAATTGCAATATATTCATATACTGGAACACTACTCAGTTATAAAAAGGAAAGAAATATTGATACATGTAATACAGCAATATGAATGAATCTCAAATTACAATAAAGGCATCCAAACAAGAAGAAATATATGAGGTAAGTTTCTATTTATATAACATTTTAGAAAATGAAACTACAGTAAGAGAAAGCAGATCAGTGATTTTCTCAGGATGGAGAATGGTGGAGAGGCATGGGAAAGAGAGACAACAAAGGAAAATGCAGACACTTTAGGGGATGGCAGAGATGCTTATTATCTTGACTGTGATAATTATTTTTAAGTGCACAAATATAAACACTTATCAAATTATATAACATTTAATACAGGTCATTTTTATGTCAATATTTGCTTCAATAAAGATTTTCCCTTTATTATTACTATTTTTTTAAAAAAAGAACTGTGTGTCTAGAAAAAGGTAACAAAGGAGAAAATTGGTAAATAATGAGATCAAACAGGGGCGAGATATGTGCTGTGCTGGTAATGACTGGTGATGATATTGATTTTGTGCTGGTAATGACTGGTGATGATATTGATTTTGTGCTGGCAATTATTGGTGATGATATTGATTTATATTGTAAAGGCAAATGCATTGGAGAGATTTAGGCTAGGATATGATCAGATTTATGAAAATTACCAGACTTACAGAATTTTAAATCAGAGGAGATGCTAGCCTCTTCAAGTCTCAGCAATCTTAAAATACAGATCCATAGTTTTTCTGGAATTCCTTAATGCATCTGCTAATTTTTATGTGTATGTGCATGTGTATATGTATGTGTGCCCTAATGAGAGTTCCACAGCTTCACCAGCTACTGAAAAATGCCTTTCATCATAAAATATTAAGAACTAGACATATATTTGATATATTAAGAACTACATATATATTTGACCTATCTGAATTTAGACTTGAGGAAAGTAAAATACCTGAGATGTTAAATGATTTGTTCACATCATAGTAATGATGACACGTGGATATGGTCATAATGGGTTTCAATGCCAACTATCCTCTCTCACTTGATCTCTTCATTCCCCCCAACCCAAATGCTCTCAATTAACAGTACACTTTCATAAGTACCTGGCATGCAGTATACAAACAAATAAATGTCTGTTGAACACTGAATGATCTAGCCAAAATCAACAATAGAATGTGTGTGCAAAATATGGTCCATAATAGATTATAAGCCAGTGTATATTTGAAAGTAGTCCCTGATAACTCTCTGAACAAAATATGACATTACTGAGTTTATTGAGCTTAGTGAAAAATATGATGTTGAGGTCAGCATTCATATTAGTTGCTGGGGTAAGGTAAATTGGTATAAGTTTTCAGAAAAGCATTTGAAATTTTAAAATTCACACTCTCATTTACAGGAACTAATCCTAGATAAAAAGTGAAACATTTATACACAGAATGCTTGGAGCAAATTCATTTTTAAATGTGAAAACCTGAAAACAACTTAGATGTAAAAGAACAGACTGGTCAAGATGCTTATGATATTCCATAAATTAAAAGTCATATTTAGAAGTTTTGCATGAAACAATTTTCATAGTAGAATGTGTCATGAAATTTCAGCATATAGTGAAGATAAATAGATAAAAAGAGAAGAAAATACACCAGATAAAAGGTGAATAATGACAGTGAAATGTACTGAGCTTGAAATAAGTAATTGGTGGTTTGTCACTACAAATCTCTACATTGCTAGAAAAAGAGATCATTCACTTTAAAATGAGAAAAGAATAATACATGATAAATAATAATAAGTAATTCATCTTTGAATATTATTGTGAGTCTTCCCTGTGCAATGGAATGAAGAATAAAACACAAATTGGCACTCAACAACTGTTTTCATCCTTAAAAGACAAGGCAAATGAATTCATGTTTGAATAAGCAATACTTATTCCAATTAGGTATAAATAAAATTACTTAAGTATAGGTTATATACCATAATATATGTCACCAAAAAAGTTTTACACCATCCTGCAGAGATTTTTAGGTAATTATCAGTCCAGAATGACATAAGTTCATTTCCTTAGCAATCCAAGTAGAGGAACATGATCATCATCTCAAATTCTTTCCTCACTCTAAGGTCCATGAAAATAAATTGATACCCTTTGATAGAATTTAAAGGTCTTAAAATTAACTGAAATAAGCCTGAACAGTAAATCCTCACATAAAGATGTAGATAGATTCTTGGAAACTGGAATTTCAAGCGAAAAAACAACACAAACCCTAATTTATCATTGGTTAATTGATATAAGCAACATATTTACAGTCATGAAGACAACAGCAAATTTCTAAATGAAGTCCCCAAACATATCTAATATTGAACAATTATTTGTATTTATTAATGCCATTTATTTTCCAACCCACTTATTCAAGTTCAGGATGATACGTAATCAGAACCTATCCCCACAGCTTAGGGTACAAAGCTGAAACCAACCTTAGACAAGACCCTTCCATTGCAAGAAACTTAACACATATCTCCACACTCACTCAGAGTGGGACAATTTAGATATACCAATGAACCTAACATGCACATCTTTGGGATGTGGGAGGAATCCAGAGTACTGGGAGAAAACTCACACAGACCTGGGGAGAAAGTGCAAACTCCACACAGACAGTGGCCTTCATTAATGTTATAATGAAACAACACTACTTGAGAAAGAGCTGTATTTTTATTCACAAACTTGGACAATACTAACATACCTTTATTACTAATTAAACCCTATCATAGACATAATTTCTACAGTACCAGTATAAATGTGTAAACTGAATCAAAAGATTGATTTTAGAGTCATGTCTCCAGGAAAATATATATTTTTTTTTGGGGGGGGAGGGAGTAGCATTAATTCTAACACTGGATTCAAGTTGTAACTGATCAAATAGGTTAATATTTCCATTCACACAGGCAGATATCTCATGATTAACCTACTCAATACAATTACAGTGATTGAATACTCAAAGACACAACAATTTATCACATATTAATAGCGAAAGTAAGTTGAGAGCACTACCCTTAAAAGGGCCTATAATAGGAAAAGAGTAACTACAATCAAAAGATATTGAGAATTTTATTACATACCTATCAGATGAGTGAAATCAACTTCTAATCTTTGCCTATACTTGAAATCTGGGTCCATACCACTGCAGTGCAGCACTATCTGTGAGACACACTCCTCAATTATTTTGTAATACTGTGGCCTGAAAAAGAGAGACAGTATTCTTGAATATCTTTCCTACCTACGCAAATCAATTTTTGTAATAAGTGATTCAGCGTGATAAAGAACTAAGTCTTTCACTAGCAGTATTAAAAAAAATCTTAGCCATTACACATCTTTAGGAGAAATATGTCTACACTTGGAAATGGTATGAACATTTTAAAGCAAAACTCATTGTGATGTAGTCAACTGTGAACATTTAGTGACTTAATACTCTAGTTAGTGGGGATTCATGCTTGTGTTAAAAGACACTTATCAACCTTCTCTACTTACTTAAGCTATTCTTCCTAAAGTTAATGAAAAGCAATGACCTGTGGCCCTATATCCATGAATACAGAAATGGTTCTGGGCATCTACAAGTTCTCAATTTCAATAAGGGATGAATATCTTGGCATTAGGTGGCAAGTGATGCATTGAATTTACTACAAAGATTTTACTCAAGATAGCTATAACAGCTTACAAAACTAGACTGAGCCACTTATGTTACAGACTATATCAAAGATCTATTTATACACATATTTTAAAAGATCCATTTTAGAGATGCATACACACTTAATATGCATGGCTATAGCCCCAATTTGTTCAAAGTGTCAAAGGTTTGAACACTTCCTAATTATGCAATCTATCAAGGCAATTCTGGCTTTAAAAATAACCACTTGCCTACTTCAAAAAATTTTAAAGTTATTATTTGCCTTAAAGTTTGGGGGATATTAATATTACTGGTTAATAAATGTAATGGAAGAAAACACAAAAATGTTACTGTAGACAAATTATGACACAAACATCCCTAAAGTTATTACACAGATAACTAGCCAACCTCCTAAAAGTTTGAAAATAAAGTCAAACAGATATAATTGTTCTTATCTGACTTTTATCATGGGACTAGGTTCAAGAATAAGAATAATTCATCATATTATATATACATCTGAGGCATTTTCAAGCCATCATCAAGTCTAGGGCAAATTATATTTGATTACAATCAGTTTAGTCAATGATACTTTGGGTAAATAAGGAAAACACAAACATTTTTTGAGGTCAGGTTACCCATAAATATAATAAAAGTATTAGTTATACTTCTATATCATATGGATGTTCTCAGAATGAAAAGGATAACATATTAAAGTAAATTCTCATTTATTCAAAGTAACAGATAAACAGTTTCACACAAATTATTTCCACAGGTAAATCCTTGCCCATGGGCACAATGCCCCTTTAATCGGCAGGACTAATTTTAGGAAACAGCAATAATTTAAACTGCATTAAATGGACTGTGAAAAAAAACCTCAGCATATAATCTAATATTTTAAACATTTTCTGTCTCTGTAATATCATCATGCCCATCAATTATTATACCGGTCTGAATTATAATAGTTCTCTATGTGGCTTTAGAACTGTCATTTTTGTCGTGACTATGGCTGACCCCCTGGTAGCCTTCCTTTTCCCTTACTCAAGTTTTGAAAACTCAGAGAACCTAGGTTCTCTATGTAGCCAGAATGGCATGCCTATTAAAAGTATGAACAACAACTAAGAGTATGAACAACTGTTAAATGTAGGATCATGGCCACTGTTTATGGATAATTTCAGTCAGTTGGAAACTGTTCTCTAACTTGCTGGTTTTCAGATATGTTCCCAGTTACTAGATGCTAAAATCTTTATGGATTACTATCATACTCATTTATTTTTAAGAATTACATCACAGAACATAAAGCTGAAACGGTTGGATTATTTTCAAGGATAAGATCACATCTATTACTAGATAAGCATAATAAGAGAGAAATAACAATAAAACCACACTTATCAAAATGCATAACTTGAAAGTTCTACTATAGACTCTTCAATGCCTAGTTTGAGAAAATTCATCAAGGGGTCAGTAAAATCTGTTGGGTTCATTGCTACTAATAGTCCTGTTACTGGGGCATTCTATTTTATAAATAGATACTTCTGGTCCTTGAAAATAAACAAAAACCTTTTAAAAACCTTACCAAAAGTCATCAAACTCTTGCATTCTATGTATGCATACAGGGACATACTGACTAGCTCCCACTATACTGTTAATTTGCCTTTACTATCTAATTCAAATTACACAAAAGATACTCTCAGGTCTGCCTCTTACCTGATATAATAATCATTTCTGATGAGCAAAAAGTGTTGCAGGATGGACAATAAGTAATTTTCAGCAGCAGTGTCCTTCAACAAATTGTACAGAAGATGGTACACTTCATTCATATCAGTAGGAAGTAAGTAAAGGAAAAAAGTCAAAGATTCTTGAAAATTTCATCCACAACAAAGCATATTTTAAAAGACAGATGTATCACTTGATTTCCATTAATTTTTCTAAACCTTCAACTCCAGGATCCATATAAATGCAATAAAATAAGAGACTTGAGCATTTCTAAGACCACTGAATTATCAAAACTTTAAAATATAAAAATCATTATATTTTTAATTACAAATTATTGATGGTACCCCTGGAACAGCCATGTCATCAATGAAAATGGTTTTCTCTTGATCTTTTTGTGGTTGTAAAAGGACTTATATTATTCATGCAAGCCACTACTTTATTTCCACATGACAGAAGGTAAAAGAACATTTTTGTTCTTTTTTATGTCCAAAGGTCACAAAAGCTTTTTATATACAGCTTTATTTTATATTTAGATGAAATACTTGCTAAATTTGAAATGATTACTATTGGTATTCATTTATATTTCATTATTTGAAAAAAGAGAGTAAAGACAATGGAATGTAAACATTTTTTTCCTCAAGATATAAAAATATTGGTAGAAGTTTAAATGCTTATACCAAAAGAGAAAACACTTCAAAAGAGGATTCACTTTTATGATAAAAGTGAGACCTGAAAAATTGATGTGAAAGAAAGATAGAAGAGGAGATTAATACATCTTAAAAATAACCTGAAATGTCAACATTTTCTTTGAAGTAGAATTAAATATATGATGGATTACTTCTCAGACCCCATCTAAGAGTGTTGTGTTAAAGTCTCATAAGGTCCCTTAAATGGTCATAGAATGGATCTAAAAATAGCTTTATGGCAAAGTTTGATTATAAGAGAAATCTATATAAAACAAGGAAGCAAGATATTAATTGATATAAAAAGCATTTAACATCAGAGAAACCACTCTAATGCCACTAATAATGAATAAGATATTATTAGAATTTATTCCTTATTATAATCAAACTGTTATACATTGATACACATTTACTTAATACTTTCGTATGAGACACTTTGATAGGCACATTAGAGGGAAAAGATGAAGCATAACATGTCTGCCCTCAATCCTATAAGGATATAGATATATACATAAATAAGACAGATACAAAATATTGCAAGAGTTTCAAGGAGGAGAATATTAATACTGCTTTTTTTCCCCCCCATTGCAGGGAAGAAGACATAGAGAAAAAGACTAGCTCAAAGAACACTTTGGTTCTGAACTCTTTCCCAATTTCTCCAAAATCCATAAGTAATAAACAGGTGTTCAAAACAATAACCAATGATGCTATAAGCACCATATTTTAGGTCTAAAATTAGTTCATATAAAATCATTTCCATAGAATTATATGCTAGTTGTATTTGACTCAAATGCATTTACCACACAGCTTTGTTATAGTTACATAATATTACAATTAAAATCTTTTGGGTTTGTTTTGTTAAGAAACCAAATGTTTGGACTGGGAATAAGAGTTGATTGGAATTTAAATATATTTCCAAAACAATAAAGTACCACCAAATAAAATGAAAAAAAAAAGCATATTTTAAAAGACAGATGTATCACTTGGTTTCCATTAATGTTTCTAAACCTTCAACTCCAGGATCCATATTTATACAATAAAATAAGAGACTTGAGCATTTCTAAGACCACTGAACTATCAAAACTTTAAAATATAAAAATCATTATATTTTTAATTACAAATTATTGATGGCACCCCTGGAACAGCCGTGTCATCAATGAAAATGGTTTTCTCTTGATCTTTTTGTGGTTGTAAGAGGACTTATATTATTCATGCAAGCCTCTACTCTATTTCCACATGACAGAAGGTAAAAGAACATTTTTGTTCTTTTTTATGTCCCTCCCAATCACGGAACTCATATATGACTATAGGTAATATATTTTTCAGTAGATTCTGACAATTCTTCAAGATGAATCTTAAGAACAACATCATAGTGAGGTACTAATATTATTAAGTGGAGATAAATTGATCTGGCAGAAAAGAATAATAATCATCCACAAAATCACCCACAAGTCCGTTTTTCACAATACATGCAAAATGGTTTTGTGATTCCTCAAAAGGATATTCCATTTCTGTTCGAATGTCATTGAGACGGTGTGATAATTCAGTTAGGTCATCCTCTTTGTTCTCATCAAATACTTTCAACTGAATATCAAGCTCCTCATTCTCTTTTTCTTTTAGATCCTAATATACAAAAATAAAACATAACAGGTGAATAACAGCTTGACAACACTATACATTAGTAATAAAGGCCAGAATACTATTATTAATTTAATACATGTAAGCAAATTCAAATATTGACCCAGGCACTTAGTTTCCTGAAAGTAAATGTACTATTATTTTTGATTTTAAAATAAAAAAAAAAATTCATTGTATTTATTGCATTTTCTTTCCGTGCCCCAGATTTTTATTATTCACATTAAAAAATTAACAACAATTTCTACAACAGAAAAAATAATTGCTAACAACCCAAATTAAATGCTGCCGTTCTGACTAAATATACTAATCAAAGATCGCAAAAGAACTCATGCAGTTACAACATGCACATATGCCTCTGGCAAAAAATGCAAATATAGATCAATTATATTAATGAAGAACAAATGCAAGGATATATTCACGAACAACAGTCCCAAGTATGGCGTGAGTAGTTGTATAAACAAGTTTATTTTAAATGATATTTTGTGATTATAAAGCAAAAAAGCATTATGATTTTTTATCAAGTTGCATTTCTAGCCTCCTATACTACCTTCCATTTTTGCTTAGGTTAATCACAAAATACTGACTTGGGCATCAAGTTTTTGTAATACATTATAAGCAGATGTATTACAAAGTTCTGATAATTTTCAAAATAGTAGTATAAACAAAAATCCTTGGAAGCATGCCACACTAGAGATTGTTGGGCTTAATATATATTACTTGGAATATCTTTTAATATGTGTCCATTAAAGTGCAGCTTTCAAAACGCAAATCAATTATCGTAACTATAGATACTCAAGGGTGATACCGAAAGACACTAGGATGTTCAGAGCTGAACTCTAAAAGGAAATGCAAGCATGGTGTACTTCAAATTAAGTAGATAAAACAAAATTGGGTGCATTTCTCATTTCTATTTCCTTACAATTGAACAATTATAAATGGAGATGTAATGGCTATTATTGAAGCCAAACATAAATGTATGCAATTTCTAGATGTTCTTTTTCTAACATTCACATACATAATAATTTAGTTAAAAATGATCTATAGAGCATATGAAAACATTAATGTTTCTAGACACTTCATATAAAATAAGTAACAAAAATGCAATGAAACACTTAGATTCCTATTTATTAATAATGGTTTTGATCTAGTTTTCTACCCTGAAGGGGAATGGATAAATTTATTAAAATATTAGATAATCTAACATTTTTGGGTCATGTTATCAAGGTGATTTATGAACTTCATTCAGAAAGTAAAAGGAGCAAAATACACCCAATATGTTGGTCATTGCAGAAACAACCTTTTAACACGTTTTAGAATATGTACTTCGCCTTATTGGTATTTCCTTACTGGTAATATAGCCCCTCTCAGATGCTCACTATAAGATATATTCAAATATTTGAAATATGAAAACATCTAAGTTAAATACTGTCAGACCTCTCTGGTGGCGCAGGGATTAGAGTCTCAGATCTATCAAGCTATCCCCACCAACGCCAGCATGAGTTCAATATCCAGCCAGGGAGCAAACAGACCTCTCCTGTCTCACCTGCTGCTCCCCTCAGCAGTGTATTTCAGTAGATTCCTCACTTCTGCTCCCCGCTCTGTCTCTGGTGAATCCTCTCTCTCTCTCTCACACATACACACACACACACACACACACACACACACACACACCCGCACCTCTGGCCTATACCCCAGCTCATATACTCATAAATAAATAAAAATAAATAAATCTTTTAAAAAATGTTACTTAATGTTATTAATGTTATTTAACATTAATGTTAACATTAATATTTAACATTAATGTTAATAACATTAATGTTATTAATGTTATTTAATTAGCAGCAGAATTTTATAAAACATGGAAATAAATTTGCACAATTAAAAAAATTTTAGTGACAAGTTAAAGGTTTAGTTTTTAATAAGGATATGATTTCTATAATATATATAATATGTGAAACTATAAATCAATATATAAGATAAATATATAAATATATCTTATAACTTATTTACTAATAATTCCAGACCTACTAAAATAAATATACATGCATATATACATACACACATATATATGCAAAACTTTCTTTCAGTCAAATGTCAAGACTTGAAAGACATATCCATAAATATTCAATTATAAAAAATATGTAATAGATTTAATGAATTTATATTTTTATGTCACAAATGTGACAGTCTATAAATGCAAATGGAGTCACACTAAAACTTTGTATTTAAAAATGTAGAATATCATCAAATTAATTATACTGTTATTTTTAAAATTTTATTTTATATATTTTTACATAATTTTTCATTTTTGCACAATGCATGCATTTTCATCTTGGTTATAGTCCCCACACAATTCCACCCCCCCTTGGTTTGATCCTACTCCCTTCTCCCCCTACCCCAGTAGTGTGTCTCTGTTTTATAGTTGCTTGCTGATTTTGATTTTTACTTTATTGTAATTAGTCTATTTCCTGGTCCTTATTTAGGTTTTCTAAATTCCTGCTTTGAGTGAGACCATCCGGTATTTTTCCAAAGGACACAGAAACATTAATTCAAAAGGGCACCTGCACTCCTAAGTTTATAGCAGCATTATTTACAATAGGTAAGCTATAGAAACAACTCAAATGCCCAAAAATAGATGACTGGATTAAGAAGATGTGGTACATATACACAATGGAATATTACTCAGTAATCAAGAAAGATAAACTCATGCAATTTGCAGCAACATGAATGGAGCTGGAAGGGATCATGCTCAGTGAAATAAGCCAGAAAGAAAAATAATTATTCTGTTATTAATTATATGCAAAATTATAAATATATTTTAGTTATTTTTTAGACAAACCCGTGGTAAAGATAAGGAACACTTTTGGCACATTGACTGAAACATAGAATTAAGTCTGGATAACATAGTATACTTCAAAGTAAGTCAAAGCCCACCACTAGTACATGACTGATTACCAGTCAATCACAGCTGAGTCTTCAAAAGAAGAAAAAATGCTTGTTTGTCTTCTACAAGAGATAAAGAATGCCTGTTGCCTACAGACACAATTTCTTACTATTTGTTCCTGTAAATATCTAATTCAACTAATATTTTATTATTTATTTAACCAAAAGAAGATGGAGAAAACTTCAGAAAAAAATCAATGCAAGTTAACTACAGAGCAACGCTATTTTAAAAAATATGGTATAGTACATATCAACTCATGTATCCTAGATTACTAAAGCGAACCTATGAAAAGTGAATTTTACATATAGATGAAGCATAAACTCCCTTTTTAAACACCATAATTTAAACAGAGATGGGGAATTTTGAAAAAAGTTTTTATAGAATATCATTAAAATAATTGTCCTTGGGCCTCCCCGGTGGCGCAGCGGTTGAGCACTGGGTTGCGAAGCTGCCCGCAGCCTCTGCAGCGCCGGTTCAACCCCCGGCTGCTCCCCAGCCACGGAAGGAGGGTCCCACATGGCGCGCAGACCTCTCCTGCCGCCCGCTGCTGCCCTCAGCAGTGTACTTCGGTCCTTCTACCTGCTCTGCTCCCTGCTCTGGTTCTGGTGAATTCTCTCACCCTCCCGCGCTTCTGACTGTACCCAGTGCTTGTATAAATAAATAAATAAATGTTTAAAAAAAATAAAATAAAAAATAATTGTCCTTGTCTTGAGGATTCTGATAATTATATGAAAAAAAGTTTCATTTTACTATACTATTATGATTGCCTGAGGGTTTATTGAAATAGTAAGAACTATTCTTCCCTAACATTGAATGACTCTAGATGGATATAAATTTTGGTCTATATACCAATTATTAATATTAGCCCTGGCCATGTCTAACTTGCTGCTTTAAATACACTATATTTTAGAAAATTAAGAGCTCCTCTTTTTAGAAGAATGTATAAAATAAGAATAAATAGGAAAAATGTAAGGATTGTAAACTCTCATCTATGTATATATTATTAAGCTTCAGTGCATGTGTAAAAGATTTAATGTTACTATAAATTTTTAAATTTAAATGTTCAGTGAATTAAATAGTGAGTTAATAAAATAATAGTTGAATGTTAGTTACATCTAGCATACAATCTGGTCTTTGTTCCAAGTTGCATTAATAAAAGTATAAGAACTATGATATTAAAGAAAAGATCTCTAATCTCAGGATTTATCTATAGAATCTGCATTTTAATTTTCATGTTGTATATCAGAAATAACTGGGGAGAATTTTTTTCCCCAAAATCAAACATCTTTGCCCCAGTCTCAATGAGATTTTGATTGCATACCCTTTGGGGGATATGCTGAACCTAAGAACCAGATCCATATTTAGCCGTATTTTGCTACCTTGTTTTAGGTAGAAAAAAAAATCGAGACTCCTTGTAGGTTCTATTGCATGACTTTATGAGGCAGAAATATGAAACGTCCCATTTTTCTGTTATCAAGAAATCACTAAAATCTATGAAACTGGGCATCCTGAAGAGATATGATAGGTAAGTAAAAATTTAGCTGGAATTATATGCAAGCAGTCCCTGACTGATTATAGTTCAACTAATGATTTTCAACTTTATGAGAGCTTGAAATCAATATATATTCAAAAGAAAGCTTACTACCAGGGCCTCTGTGATGGTGCAAGGGGTTAAGTCTCAGCACTATCAAGCTAATGCAGCCACTGCAGCATGAGTTCGATCCCCAACCAGGGAGCTAACCCATATGGCACAGTAGACCTCTCCTGTCTTGTCTGCTGCCCCCCTCAGCAGTGTATTTCTGTCAATCCACCTGTTATGCTCCCCACTCTGTCTCTGTTGAATAATCTCACCTACCCATGCCTCTGGCCTACACCCCAGTTCTTATATGCATAAATAAATAAAATAAATCTTTATAAAAAAGAAAATTTACTTTACATTTTGAATTTTGATCTTATCCTGGGCCAATTATATTTACTCAGATTAAGCCAATAAAGTTATTTCAAGAATATTTTTTAACAATATCATAATTAGAGCAAGTATTCACATTTCAATTAAGAAATATTTTTTTTTTTTTAGAAAAGCCCTACAGTGTTGTAACAAGAACACCATTGTTAGGTAATGGATCTAGAACGTACTAGACCCAACATTTTATACAAATTTATAATAAATATAAATGAAATCAATTCAAGTTATCAAAGAAGAAAGTAAAAAATTCTAAATGAAAATTGAATCTAAAAGAAAGTAATCTTTGTATGTTCTTAGTGTTCAAACTTCAAAGAAAAAAAATTATTTTTTGACTTCAAGAAGACAAAAAAAAATCACATCATTTCTAGACACATCATTAACTGAATTCTGAACTATGATATATGACAACATCACAAAATGAAAAAGCTAAAAAAAAGTCCAATGTTTTACAAAAGAAAACAGCAATGTGCATTTATTTATTCTGCCACAGGTACTTTTTTTCTAAGAAGAGAAAATTGGTTAAGTTCACCAGCATAATAAATGTGTACACTCAACTTACCGGTAACATTGCTTTTAGTCCTGAACGCAGGAATTCATTTCTTAAATGTATTCGAAAATCAAGTTCATAAGGAGAAGTGACAAGAGCATTTATAAACTGCATGCAGGCCACCTGAAATTAGAAAGTAAACTATGTGAAAAAAACATACTTTTTTTAATTATGGAAATATTTACTTAATGCATTCAAATAATTATTTTCCCATTCACTGAAGACATACTTTTATAAAATTTAATAATAAATACAAATACTAATACAACACAATGATATGACTTTATAGTATTAACAAAATTGACAGTTTCCAATGTCCAAAATTACTAATGACGAATTGCCAAGAACTGCTATGATTTACTAAACAATATGAAGGAATATCAAACTGAGAAACTTGAAGTCCAAAATGTGCTTGTAGAACCTGTTAAAAAATCATGAAATGTGCATTTCATATTTCAATGTCCTCAGAGCACACTTTCCCTCAATTCTATGTGGCTACAAACATTTTTTTTAAAATAAATCAAATAAGTTATAAAAATACCCTGATATTAAACAGAGAACAGTGATAACTTGGTGAAATTATTACATTAATTTATATACTTTCTTATCCTATTATTGAGATAGGGATGCACACAATATAGATTACAGGTATTTCCCTCTTTTTGAAAGTTTGCATTATACCACTTGGATTTTACAAAAGGTCTACAGTAGTGGATTTTCCCTTTTACAACAAAAGGCAGAAAGTAAAAACAGAATTCAGCAATTTATAGGGAGAGCAAACCTCAAGCAGAGAGTGTAGCATTGCCAAGCTCCTTCCTTTCATTTTGTACAGGTCGTGCATTTTTAATAACATTCCTGCTTTACTGAATATTAGTGCTTTTTTGGTATGATTTGGTAGGTTATCTAGGGGTGTCTAGGAAAGGTAGGAAATCTTTCCATATAAATTAAGGGTAATTTCATCTTCTCTTTATGCCATTTCAGCTTAAGAAAGGTTTGGATAGAAGGAAAACCTGTATTAAATATATGATTAAGATAATTTAATTGACTGCATAAAAATGAATGCACGTGAATTACGATGACCAAGAATACACTATGACATCAAAACTAATGTGCACTGTATCATAAAGTTAATTATAAGGGCTTGTTTTCACGTGAAGGTGATTCATTAATTATATTGACACTGGAAAATGGGTATTGCTTTCCTTATCTTGTGATATTAAGACCACCTATTATAAAAGAGGACTTACTTTCTGGTAATTGTAAGCTAGAAGTTAATCAACAAAATGCAGTTGCCAGGTGTACTATTATCCCTGAATAGCATTTTTTTTGAAAACGCTGCTCAAATCTAAGACAACTGCCTAATAGTCTAAATGAAGAGCTGCAAATTTAAATAGATTAAATTTAAAGCATGCAATGAGTAGTTTGGTGTTCAAAGAGGTGACAGCAAATGCACTTCTGAAAAAGATCACATTTAGTAAAGATGTTAAGTACATTTAGAAGGGAACAAAAATAAATTTTAGGAAAAATATCAACAAAAGGAAAAGATTCCAATTTTGACTTATTCAGAATTAAAAGTTATATTACTTATATTTTTATATCAATATCTTATGCATGTAAGCTTTTTGAGGGGAGATTAGCCCATCTACCCCATATCCAGATTAAAAAATCAAAACCTGTGTGCTTCAAAGGGAAAGAGTGATGTTGTTTCTGATACTACTAGATGATAATTGAACAAGGTAGTCCAATTCCTACAAATGTCCAAATGTTGGGATAAAACACTTAGACAACTGACTAAATATTTGCTGTATGTTTGGCATATCCTGAGACATATCAGCTAGTTATTGTGACACTTGTGCCTTAATAGGTTACTTAACCTTCCTATATACAATTAGAAAATGTGCAATACTTTATTTTGTTCCAATAGACTGGGATATAAGTTTGTAAACTGTACATGTTGATAGTTATATTATCACTGTATTTGCTTGAATGATCCTTGTTATGTTTTAAGTATGACATGACCGAACAAGCCAAAGTACATGTCGATTCCAAAATTAATAGAGAGTAAATTTGCCATCTGTTAGGGTTGTTTTTGCCAGAAGAAATTTCAGCTTAATGGCTTGTATTAATATCCTACAAGTAAAGAGAACATTTCCATAACATGTTAATGAGTCTTAGAATTGTATTTTTGTACAAATAAAACTACTTAGATCAGGAGATGATAAAAATAGTAGAAGCCAATAAAACTAATGAATGTTTCAACATGAATATAACTTTAGATTTAATAAAATACATGTTGCAATGCTATTAAATACTTTGAATGTAATGTGTGATATGTAACAACATTAAAAGAAGTTATATCCATTGACTAGAATAAAATAATTCGGAAACACTTTCAAGTCAGTGCTTAAAAAGGTAATAACACTATCTTAGCAACATACTATTTACTATTTATCAAATTCTAATGATATATAAATAACATAAGGTGATGAAAGTATAAAACCCATACTTTCATGTCATTTTCCAATGAAATCTGCTAAAAAAATACTTACAGAAATATTTATACCATTTGAACATGGAGAAGGAGAAATCCTCTTAGTTATCTCCATTCTTTTCTGCTACTACATAATTACTATATTTTTCAAAGGACAGGAATAAAATCAATTGAAAACAAAAAATAATTATCACTATTTACAAATTTAAAATTGAATTTTTAAAATATAATTGAAAAGTAAAATAGTATTACTTAATTATAAGCATGAAATACCTATTGTGCGAATTCTGATATCATAGTTAAATACAAAACCTCAAACTATTATCACCTTATTATTTTACTAATTAGTTATCAAAAATATTAGCTTCAATCCATTAGTCATCACCATTACTCTCATCCTTAGAAAAGACACAGGAAAAAGGTGTTATCATTATCTTTATTATCTTTGTTTCACAGATGATAAAACCAAGGCTCAAAGCAGATAACTTATACAAGGATACACAAGAAGAAGAAACTCATAATTCTAAAACATATCACTTTACTCCAATATAGAATAGTTTCCAGCACATTCTAGATGCCCCATAAACTCCATTTATAGATTCTGACAACAAAAGATACGAAGAATTGTTAAGATGACAAAATTTAGTACCTTACATTTAATATAATGGGAATATGTAGATCTGAAACTATAGATTAGAAAAAAATTAAAAGGTGAAATTATTTTAAGACTATGTTGGCTTATATTTAAAATGATTTTCATAATGCATAATGGAATATGGGGGGGAAAGGAAAGATAGAAAATGCTTCCTAGAATAAGTTATATTATACTTCACTGTTCAGAGTTCATTATCCCGATTCCTTCTATTGATTAAGTTGTTCACAATGGCTTTAAATTTCAAAATAGTCCGTCATACCAATTGTTTTAAATACAGTTCCCATGTGATATAAAATTTAAAAATCAAAGGAAATCAGTGAATTTTCTCAATTATTAATAAAATGCAAGGATAGGGCTGCAATTCTCATTTTTTAATATCCCAAAGGGCAGGTTGATTATCTAAAAAGGGAAAAGAAGAAAAGACACTTGCATAGATACAAGGGGAGCAGAAACCATTGCCCCCAAAAGGGACAGGTTTGTTAGGGAAAGGAGAAAAAATAAGAGGAACCTGCATAGTCACAAGTGGTCAGCAGAGCAGTGTTTGGAAGTGGTAGGTTTAAGAAAGAGATGCCTGCATAGACACAGGTGGGCAGGAGAGCTGCTTTGCAATTCTGATTTTTAACTACTAAAAAAATACATTTCTGTACTGGCATTTTTATTTAATGATGATCTTCTTATGTCATAGATGGCATCTATGTGATAGCTTATATATATATATATATAAATGGCATCTATATGATATATAGCTTATATATATAAGCTATTAAAAATGCATTAACAAATATAGATAAAACCACCAACTTTATGCATGTGATAAAGCAACCAATAATTTGTGACATGCATAATCATATACTAAACTGAATTACTCTCAGTTTTTCTAGTGCTTCCTTAATTCCTTCCTTTATTCCAATAGCATATTCTCTTTCTATAATAATCATCTGCATTATTTAGTCAGAAGATGCTATTCTCTTCATTCTGAGGGGCAGAGGTATAGGGTGTGATGCAATAGGTGAAATATCACAAAACACATTATAAGCATTCCAAAGGTAAAGCTCTGTATATATTTAGGGTTTTCTTTGTAACCCCTAACTGCTCCAATAAAATGGTTAAAGTATAATGTGTGAATAGTATTTACACATATTTGAAATTTTATTGACATATATATCATTACAAAAAGAAATTGCATTCAGTTTCTTAAGTGGTAAAGAGAGAAAATATTTAAATATGACATATCCTCAAAAAATTATCGGTGACATGCTAGACCCTTTTATTTTAGCTTACAATTTGGAAAACTATATATATATCTATATGTCTGATCACAATTCATAGAATTAGAGGAGTACAATTGCCAACTGCAAGGCGTTCTTAGACTATCCATATTGCCATCAGCTGTAACAAACTGTGCTTTTAAAATTTTATTGACACTGTCACACAGTTGACCTTATTAAGTACTTTGTTGACATTAAAAAGGTCTTTCTTTATCCAAGCCCAGCAGGAGTTCAGAAAAAAAATAGTTTAAGTCAAAGTACCAAGCAAGAAAGATACAAATGTACAGGCATGTTAATTAAGTCAAGAACTAGAGAAGACTCCCAGACAGGATGTAGTCAACATACAAAGGTATGGAGGTAGAAGGATGAAAAAGCATAAAATGTTCAGGAAAATGAGTATAGTGTGAGTGTACCAAAAAGTATATGTAGAAGAGTGGTGGAATAGGAGGTTAGAGAGAAAATAACAGTGGGATGATGAAATATTTTATATGGACTAGGAATAGACTTTAATCCCAGAGGCTATGGGAAGACGTTAACATTTAAAGCAGTGATATAATAAGAACTGCACATCAAGTTAACTTTATGAACGGTGATTTAAATGTGGATGAAATGAAGGGTAGAACTCCAGGGAAATGATAATACAAAAAAGTGAATGGGGGGGCCTCCCTGGTGGCCCAGGGGTTAAATCTCAGCATTATCAGCAATCTGG